CCCATGCAGCTGACAGAACTCAGAGGAATGAAATAACTTACAGCAAAACTTGGTTTTGCCTATCTCCCATTCATGCATGTGTTTTGTGGTGCTGATATAAGCCCATATAGTAATTCAGAGGGTCACACGTTAAGTGATGCTAAAGGCTTGAAATCTTTGAGGGCAGGGGACCCAAACTTTGGACGTAGTATCTTCTACTTACATGTAGACATGTAGCTTCTACTTACATTCTTCCTTTTTGCCATAACCAGAGATCTCACATTCAGTCCAGTCAGGCAGCTGCAGTCCCGGTGCTGGGAGACAGGCAGCACGGACAGTGTCTGTTTCAATAGCACAGTCTTCTGCATCTGAATTCAACTGTAGCAGAGCTGAAGAGGGGGGAAAAAAGTCCCCACTTCATTAATCACAACCTTGAGGCAACTGTGACCTTTCCAGTCACAAGGTCAGAAAAGTTCTTACCAATGTCATTGTTGAAATTTTCTGAGTCAAATCTCCGATGCACAATGTAGTTCTTAACTTGAAACCTTTGTTCATTTTCCTCAGGAGTGGCTCGGGAAGTCCTACCCAGCACAATCTTCAGCTGACTTGTGCTAAAGCTGAAGAACAAGAGACTTCTGTGCCAATTGGAGTGGACCTTTCCCTGGAAGATGTGCTGTTAGAGCTCCTGCTTTTCTTATTTTAGCTGTATTGCTACTTCATTACTCAGGCAGTTTGACCTCAGCTGTCCTATTTGCCTTTGGTTTTGTGCTAATTGCTTACAGCCATGATGGCAAAGCTCCCGTGCCAGCCCCTTGCTGTTCTCAAGTTTCACATGGCTCTGCATCTTCAAGTTTCACACGGCTCTGCATCTATATTGGCAACTTTGTTCTTCAGCTATTTGATATTCTGCTGTGGTACCTTAATGCTGTGCTGCCAGTTTGCCCCTAGAAATGCCTGTCTAATGCTCAGCATAATTAACTCTATAATTTTTAGTGTAGAATGACTTACTGGGCCAACGAGCTCTTTTTTAAGTCTTACCCTTCCAGTAAGGCTATACTGGATGCTTCCATTTTCCAGATTCCACCCCCCCCTCCGCCCCCAGACAGTACTGAACTCAACTTACCCTTCCTCAAAACAGTGAGCAGCTGACAAAACCCAGCAGGAACTGATCAGAATTCCTCCACAGAGGAAGTGCTCTCCAGGTGCTCGGCGATACTTCACAAAGATGGCAGCTTGCCATGGGTGAGCTGCAATGTCTGCATAGGAGCCACCCTGAACCCTGTACTGGTGTCCTCTGCGCTGCCGTAACCCGCAGGCGGCTGTGGGTGACAAATCCAGAAATAGGCTTTTTTGGTCAGGCATTCTGGATTTGAGTTTGGGCGAAGAGCCTCTTAGTTGTCAGTGCATGTTGAGGCAGCCTGGCATGAACTGCTTAGTGTCTGACTCATTCCTGTTTCCTAGGAAACTTGTATTCTGATTTGAAAAATGCAGTAAGGAAACCCTGCCTTTTCTGCCCTCCATTTCTGCAATCTTCCCTTCTGGCAGAGAAAAAAACACTTCTGTGAGAGCAGAGCCACAGAGTCACTTCTCCAATTTACTCCAAAGAGTTCCCCCCCCCCCCCCCAGTTCTTATTTTACTGGAGGAGGCTGGAGTTTAACACAAATGACATGCAGAACAGTAATGCCTCAAAGAAAAAGAAGAATCAGGAGTGCTAGGGTCCTTACAGCAAGTAGGCACGTTGCAGTACTCCCATGTGACCTGATTTCCTTTCAGTACATGGCACCAGGGCTTGCTGTCATTGTCAGGATTCCTGCAGCACAGGAAAGAAAAGAGCTATTTGTATTATTAGATCTGCAGTGAGTGTGAGGAGACCTAAAGGTGGCACACTGTGTGACCTGAGTGGACTCCTTTTGGATTTTTCTAAAGTTATAGAGGGCCCTAGGAGCATGTGGAATTTCCATTTACAGAGCTGATGTTAGAAAAGCATAGGTAGGTCAGGTGGGATAAAATTACTATTGTCATTGAGCTTCATTCCCAGCAGTAATGTGTGTCCAGTTCTTTAATAACCCACATAAAAGACTCGAGTCCTGCCTCAAGAGTAGCATGAGGAAGTTTGGCGAGATTTTTTTAATGCTATAACTGACTACATACCGGCAGAAATTGTGACTACCAAGGCCCAGCTGGTAAGCATCTCTTCTCCAAGCAGTATATAACTTGTTGACAAGGATTTGAGAATTCCACCTCAAACAGATAGCTCCAGAACTGGTAACACTGTGGCTGCCTCGGTAATCTGTGCCTCTTCCAGATTTGCAGTTGATGTTCCCAACTTCAATAAGAAAGCTGCATGTTAACTGATGGATGGGAACCCGTCAGCTGTTCCTAACTGTGATTTCCATCAAGGAATTTATATATTAGCTATACTTACCTCAGCCTCTCGGCGTCATAAGTACTAAAAGCTTAAACATGATTTAACATGAGAGTCTCAACTTTTCACTCTACAGAAATAGCACAGAGAGCCCTTATATATGCATTGAATCGTGGAAGCTCTGAAGCCCGTTCCCTGTCTCCCTGCCCATACCTTTTGAACAGGAGGGCACGCTGCAGTGTTCCCAGATGTACTTTCCTCCTTTATAGATATAGCACCAGGGTCTGGAATCCTCATCTGGGTTTCTGAAAGAGTTATGATGATATGTGTCAGTAATAAGCTATTGTCATTAGTCCCATGTCTGCCATCTAGTTTGGTAACTTAATCCTGCCCTGCAGTGAAGATGTGGACTGAGCCATTGGAAGTCATTTGGATTCCTATTTTAACTATAAAACTGTGGAGTACATGGAGGTGAGGATGAGACAGCCAGGAGGTAGCAGGAGTGGACAGCTTGTTTGTGCAGTTTAGTTTATCTGTGGGAAGCTCTATATTTCTAGAGTTTTGAGCAGGATCTGAAGCTGCAGGAAACCAGCTTACAAAGGGAGTTTTAGGCACGGAGATGGGACAAGGGAAAGACTCTAGGGTGAGAGATGTATACATTTTGTAGTCTCCTAAGCATCCAGTCTGGATAGATCTGAGGTTCAGGTGTGTCTACAGAAGTTGCAGTTGCTGCTCATGGGCTGTGCTGTATTTGCAACTGTGCAGAGTGTTTTCTGCTTGGTATTAGACTGTTGCAAACAGCTGTTCCTTTGCTCCAGGCTCTTAAAAGGGGCTGATTCCTGTGGCTCTGAGCTGTGTGTGCCATCAGGCCCTCACCTGCAATAGTTGTGATTGCCCAATCCCAGCTCAGCAGCATCTTCTCTTTGGCCGCTGTACATTCGGTCCACCAAGCCATGGCTATTCCAGTTTAAACATTCAGTTCCACTCTCTGTCATGCTCCATGTACCCCTGTATGTTACTCCAGCATCTTTGTAGCACTTAACTTCAGTATCTGAACAAGAGGGAACAAAACATTACTGTAAGGACAGCACCCAAACTCTGTTTCCCCATTCTGTTTTGTTTGAACTTGGCTCCCAGATGTCTTGTCTAGGAAGTCACTAAAAATACCTTACCAGGCAGACTAAGTGTACATGAAGGTCTTCAGCTCCGAAATTTAGAGTTCTATTAAGAGATACTCAGAACAGCTCAGGTGTCCTTCTTAAAACCATTAGCTTTAGGATAAAAAGAGGCAGCCTAACAGACAGTCTAGTATCCAGCAGCAGCTTCTGGGTACCTCATCCTTCTGCACTGCATAGCTAAACCCAGTAGCATTGATGTGGTATACTTGCCTATTTCACACTGCTTCCCAGAAAAACCATGGTGGCACTGGCAGATGAAGAGCTGTGGGGAATAATATGCCTGTGAACATTGGCCCCCGTTGTAGCACTTATTTCTAGTGCAGGCTGTGGAATAAGCAAAAGCCAGGAAATACTGTTAGATTTCACAGAAGTAAGAAGCTGGCAGTGTATACCCATCTTTCCTCTCCTGTCAGTCTCATTTAGCCTGTTCTGGTTTTCCCTGCCTACCTGTTACCATCACGTGCTTACAGTCTTTTTCTGTAGTGCTTACATTCTTCCTTTGCTCCATTCTCTCCACGTACACTATTAGGAGCCTTCCTCAGCCCCTTGCCCACTCCTGTTTAGTCCTGACTGAGTCAGTGAATATTAGTGTTTTCATTTCCATCCTGTTCTATTTCAAGCCAAATTTTCTGTGTGATACCTCCTCCCTTGACAGGGGAGTTCTTTAGGATGATTAGATGGACACTCTCTCATCCCCCACCAATTCCTTTCCCATTTTCTTCTTCGTACTCACCTCTAACAGGCACAGTGTGGCAGCGGCTCTGACCACTGTTGCACCTACAGTACTCTATTCTGTTCCGTGAGAGCCTCAGCCAGGTCCCCCTGTGCTGGTAAATTTCTCCAGATGAATTGTCTGTGCAAATGGCTGTAATTGGAGAAAGGAAATCCTCTTTTAGAGATTCAGGGAAAAGACCTGGCTGAGCAAAAGAACTCGCTTCTCTTTCCAGGAGAAAAGTATCTGTGATGGGAGCATCTGTCTCATGAGCTGCCCTTTTTCCTTCTCGGGCCTCAATTGTCACATCTCTCTCACTGTTGTGTTGCTGGATGTCCACTATTGATCGATCTCTTTTTCTCTGAAGAAGAGCAGAGGGAGGGGAAAACCCTGTTCTTTGAGCTGTGGATGGTATTAAGAGTCTGGTATTTTGCCTTCTGAATCTCTCATCCAGATAACCATGACAAACAGCTTTCAGGCTCTGTTCCCTCAGCATCATCTGCTTTCCCCTCCTGTGTTCATAAAGCTCCAGGTAACATGGTTGTAGTTTCATAGAATCATGGAATGGTTTGGGTTGGAAGGGACCTTAAAGCTCATCCAGTCCCAACCCCCCTGCCATCAGCAGGGACACCTTCCACTAGACCAGGTTGCTCAAAGCCTCATCCAACCTGGCCTTCAACACTTCCAGGGAGGGGGCATCTACAACTTCCTTGGGCAACCTGTTCCAGTGTCTCACCACCCTCACAGGGAAGAACTTCTTCCTAATATCTCATCTAAACCTCCCCTCTTTCAGTTTAAAGCCATTTCCCCTTGTTCTGTCACTAACTGCCCTTATGAAAAGTCCTTCCCCAGCTTTCTTGTAGCCCCTTCAGGTATTGGAAGGCTGCTATAAGATCTCCCTGGAGCCTCTCTTTTCCTGGCTTACCTCTAGATCTGGCTCCCCGTTTGAAACGCATGCGGAAACCCTGCAAGCAAAGAAGGTTAATTCTGTGAGTAACAGCTCTCTTAAGAAAACTGAGAGAACAATTGCTTCCAAAGAGCCAGTCCTCTTCTTGAGGTCTTGTAAATCAGGGGAGCTCTGAGCAACTGTCTGCCTTCTTTGTCAATTTAGAAAGCAGTTCTGATTCGGCCACAAGAGAAAAAATAACATAAAAAGAAAGAGGAAGGCTGGGATAGCTTTTTTTTTTTTTTTTTTTTTTTTTTTTTTTTTTTTTTTTCTTGAGAAAGAGACTAAACATTTTAGAATTGTGTAGGGTTTACTCAAGCTCTGCAATGTGAGGCTTAAAAGTGAGGGGACATGGGAACCATCAATGTCCAGTTGTAAGTGAGAGTAATGATGACAATTGAAAGAAAATTAAAGGGTGATCAAAATAGAACTCTTAGTAAGAGTGAAAGGTGACAGTGAACAGATACACCAAAAAGACTTGCAGAAGACTTTCTTACTGATATGAAGACCAGCCAGGGTACCACGTTACTGGAAATCCCAGTTTAGACTACTTTGTAAGGTTTTCCTTCCTCTGATTTCTAGTGATACAGCCAGATTCTCATTCTATCTGATGCAGACAGCTGGAATTGATGGTGAGGAAGTGCTGATGAAAATGCAGGAGGAGGGCAAGAGCATTTTTTGATGCATTAGCCTCTTACCTGGCATTGAGCAGTCATGATTGCTCCTACCAGCAGGAAGAGATATGGGAGTTTCCCTTTCATTCTGAGTGTTTTCCACATCACCTCCAATTCTCAAGTTATCTATAGAGACAAAAGGAAAAAAAAAAAAAAAAGTTGAACAAAGGTATTTTACAGTGTTCAAGGTCATAAATTTAAATACAGGTTTAAAATGATGAAAATTATTTTTACATTAAAACACACTTTCTGCTCTGCAGTTCTCAGCCATCTGGTCCTGGTGTCCCTGGAAAGGGGAAACTGCTGGGCTGGACCCAGATGTGCTCTTACTTGATAAACTTAGAAACCTGACAAGCTTTTAGGTCTGGGGGAAACTTAGTGTTTCCTGGGGAGTGCTGCAGCCCTTCCTCCCTCTCCATGGGGGGGATGCCTGTCCATCCATTGGAGGCTGCTGTCCCACTGTCTATGGAAAACAGATGTGGCCAGATGTTTATTTTCAGTTTCAGGAAAGGTACAACTTAGGCTAGTCCATTGGAATGTTCCGAATGATAAGTCCTATCAAACTGAAACCATATGGCTATTTGAAAAATACCATGTTTACAAGACTCTGAGCAGAAACCTGCAAGCAATGCACTCTCTGGTAGCGCTCTCCTAAACAGTTTGTGCCTTCTGCTGTCACACTTTGCTTCCTCTCTGATAAAAAATACTGTAGCAATAAGCCAGAGAGGCCTAGATGTGGTATTCTGACATTTGGATTCTACACTTTCAGGTACATTAGGACATAAAGATATACGATACCCTGAAGTTATCACTCTTTGCTGAAGCATCACCAGCAGGAACACTTTAAATCCTACATATTAATTTAGTATTACTAACAGCCCTTCTAAGCAGTCAGAGTGTGACTATTATCTTACAGATATGGAATAAGACCTAAAAAAGGGATATATCTTATCAAGGTTGAACCAAAAGTCATTAGAAGAAATGAAAAGTCACTTTCCCCCCCCACCCCATGCCTCTCAATAACCGTGTACGTCCATTCCAGAATACTTTTGATGCTGGATGTATAGCACTGATAGCTTTCATGCTGATGAACAGCTATCTTGATGTAGTTCAAGCAGAAGACTGCAGATCCTTACTGCCTCTTCCTGCCTTCTGAAGAAAGTGCCTCTGTATCCCTTTTCTAAACTGAGTAGATGAATATCAGACTTGTACTATTTCTCTTTGTAACAGTGGGCAGACCTGTGCTTTGGGGGAAAAGAATTAAAAACCAAACAAACAAAAAAGTAAGATTCTGTAGTCTTTGAAGGCATCAGAGGAAATTAATATTTCAAACTGGCTTTGTTTTGGGAATAATTCTCAATATTTCCTGTGGTTTTGGCTGCATTTTAAAAGAAGTGTGTTCAGGGAGAACTGAAGAAGACTTGCCCTCCTCCTCTTTGTCCCTCCATTATCCTGGCTGGAGCCTGTTTGATCTCCTCCCAGGAAGATGATAAATTATCTTTTCACAGCTAGCTCTCTGGGTCTCTCCTTACCATCAAGATATTTGTCCCTAACTCTTCCTTTGTTCTAAGTTCTTTTGCTAATGTTGTTTGTGCAGGAGACTCCTCCCTGCTAACTGGTCAGAGACTGAGGCCGTCAGCTCTTTCAAAAAGCATTCTTGAAACAAGTTGAAAGCTAGCAGCTTTACCTAGCAGCATGAGTCTCTCAAAAAGCTGAAAGGCAATAGCTCAGTTAGTTAACTACCATGGTGCTTCAGTGGGGTTTATTAATTAATAATATTTAATAGTATTTAATCACAGTGCCATTGATGTTGAAAACGGGAAATGCACTTTTTGAAACAGGTGCAGAGTAGTACCTACCTTTTTGCTTTTTCTCTTCTGTATTCTCCTGAGGATTTCCTTTCCAGACCAGTCTGGTTTTGTGCGGCTCTGCTCTGAGCTCTCTGAACAGCTCCTGCCCTACTTAAAACTCCACTCGAGGGGGTGGAGACTCCAGAGGGCAGGAGGACGTGCTTTCCCCCCCCCCGCCCCATCCAGAGGATCTGGAGATGATCTAGGACGGGGTGGCTTGTGTTGGGAGTACTGGGAGTGAGTCTGTGTGGGAGTGGAAGAAAGCTTGCTGAGGTGAGTGGAGCATGCTGGATTTTACAGACAGTTTGCTTTGTTCTTTCTCTGTTCCAGTCAGAGAGCAGATTCAGTCTTCAAAACAGCTTTTCCCCATTGAACAGCTTAAGCTTCAGGGACAGTGAGAATGGTATGTATCCCTTGTGATGAACTGTCCCATCACACTTCTAGGAATGCGAGGGCAGTGCCTCGAGTGAATACACAGGTGTATTATTTCTAACATGACCAGAGGAATGCAATCTGTAGACTTAGTCCTAGAACTGAGAAACTCCTGTTTCAAGCCAGAGTGTTGTGTGCTGTGCTCTTAATGGCATCCATTGAGAATCTTGGGCAGAGAGACACTGACCTGTATGTGGAGCAAAGCACGCCATGAACAGTGCCTCTGGGAGAAAAAAATTGGCAGAGGGGCTCTCCAGTTAAGTGGGGACAATGACCAAAACTTCTAAGGATCCTTAGATAGAAATAAGGAATAGCATGTTGAGGACCAGAGTTAAATGTTCACTGATACTGTCCATCCTAGAAAATTAAGATCTACTCACTACGGTGCGGTCACAAGGCACCAGGTTATCACAGTGTGGCAGACGAATCATGAATGATCAGTTTCAGAGCTGAACTTAGAGCTGCCTTATGAAAACTGTCAGCGATGTTAGAGTAATGGATGTGTCCTGACTTTTAGTTTACAATTTAGTGTAAGCACAGACATAAGAAATGGTGTGTGAGGGACCTCTGTCTTCGGGAAGGAGCTGCACCGAGTCCTCAGCTGGGAAGCATGGCAATGGTTATTTTGCATATTGGCAAAGATGAAACCCTGATTATTTTGAATGTTTAGCTCTTCTCTGCATGGAAATCTATGTCAAGATTATCACATACATTTCTCTGAGAGTCCCAGTACTGGTGGTGTCATTACTGCCATAAATCTGATGGAAAGGCAGCTGTGTTTGTTTCTAGGAGGGACCCAGTTGTTGAGAAAAAGATGCCCGGACCCTGCTGAGTGAGCAAGGTCTGATTTGTATTATTTTTAATGATAACAGCTTTAAAATAGACTTCTAGATTAAAGATACTAACCAAGTGGTGACCATGGGGGAATATTTCAGAAGTTATGTTTTCCTGGCTTTTCACAGCTTAAGGACAACTGTAGCTGTCTAGAGGGGGGATGTGGGTGCCCTTTGTAGCGCTTCACATCTTTCAGGGAAGCCAACAATGACAGTGTCTCCTCTGGAGCACCATCTCCTGGCTTACCTCTAAGCTGATCCTGTCTCAGGACAGCGTTTCGGCCAGACCGATGGTCTCATCACGACACCCTCCAGCGGGACAGCCCCACCTCTCTGTGCCCCGGGGACCCCTCTGTGCCCCGGTGACATTTGCGGCGTCAGTGCAGGGGGCTGGTGCTGCAGGTCCGGCCGTGCCCCCCCCCTCTCGGTGCTGCTGCAGCGCCGTCGAAGCGCTCCCCGTCAGCCAGCC